GAGGGAGAGAGGAAGAGGGAGAAGGAGAGAGGTAAGGCTGAGGGGGAAGGGGAGGGGGAGAGGGAGAGGGAGAAGGGGAGAGGGAGATGATGAGAAAGAGAGAGAGAGAGCTTTGCAAGTTACAGGCAGCAAGTGGACCTTGCATCCAGTCCTTTACTTGTCCAATGAGGTCCTCAAGAGGGTGACAGGAGTCTAAGATGAACTTAAGACAGTATTTTCCGCTTTGTCCAAGCTCCTTATTCTCTACTTCAAATTGGCTTTTGAGCCATATCAGGTTTGATTCTAGAAGCTAGAAGTATCCATTCATTGACAATGTGCATCTTGGCAGTATTTGAACTCAGTGATACAAAGTATGAATACATTGCATAGACCTTAGAACCTCAGGAACCTTGTGTCCACCCTCTCTCTCTTGTCACTCTCCTTTTCCCTCTCATGTTTCCACCCTTCCCATTCTTTTTCTCCATCCCCTTTCTCTCACTACTCTCCTACCCTTCCTTCCCCATCTCCTAGTCAAGAAATCTGACCTGGATTCCCCGTTCTTCTGATGGCCTTTCATACACAGTTACTACTTGATACAGGGGGCCTTTCAGCATCTCTAGCCATGATGTACTTGGCTTTTCATGGCCACAGATAAGAAGTATGACTTGACACTAAGCAAGAAGGAATTTAGGGAAGAAAGTGTCTGGTAGTCATGTTGTAGCCACAGAGTACTGGACAATCCTTAGGAGCTGACGAGTTGCTTTCGTGCCTGTGTATTTCTCCTAGAATGCCATATTACATGCATAACTGGAGAGTTCCTCAGTTATCCTTTGTGAATTCTCGGTTTGGGCAGTGGCAGATAGCACTGTTTTTATTTGTGATTTTCACTTGAAAAGTGTGAGAGTCACCTACATGATGTATATTGCAGTCCTTGTGCTGTGCTTTTTTCTTTCCTGTACATCAGACCTGTTGTAGAATAACATATTCATCAGACCATTTCCTCCAGGAAAACCTTCTCTATCTACCTGACCACAAGAAAGAACAGACTGAAGCAAAGGTCACTTTGGGCTCTTATCAAACCCTAGATGTTGAAGGATTTCCTGAACTCTTGTCCCATCCTCTACATCATCATTATATGCCCACTTCCCATGAGAGCAGTATACTAAAGTTACTTGTGGCCCCACCAGTAAGGCAGCTGACTCTGATTACAGACTGTTAACTCCTCTGCATCTTGGCACTACTTGTTAGAACTGTGGTCAGCATGATTTCTGAAAGGAATAAATACATGGACCAGCAGGTGGAAAGGAAGCACTCTTCCCAACATGCAATTCTCAGTCCTGTAGGCTTGCATTGTTCAAGTTTCCTTAAGAGGAATAGTGATAGTGACCAGGTGCATAATCAGTACACAACTCCTTGACTTTGAGGGCGGTCCATTACTGGTACAATCATGACTGGCTGGTGTGTACCACATGTGTTGTCACTGTATTTCTGAACACAGAGTTTTCCTGGGATAGACAACATAAGAATTAGTTGTCAATTTTCAAACCACCATGGGGCATGCCAGGTAAATGAAGCTTAAGATGAAGAGCAGAGAATCAATGGCTGTCCTCTGGGAGAAAGAGTACTGTTCATTTCTTCTCTTGGAAGAGAAAAAGGTCCATGTGCTTGTCTTCAAACAGAAATGATACACAGGCCTGCGGGTTTAAGCCTGTAATTCCAGCTCAGTGGGCTGCTGAGCCTGGATCACAAGCTCGAATCCAGAGCTAGACAGTGAGTTCAAGAACAGCCAATGCCCTGCTTTGAGCCTTTATGTCAAAAGAAAAGTCAAAGCAGAAGGTAGGAAATATAGCCCAGTGGGAGCATATTCCTACCATGTACTAGATTCATATTCCATATGGAAAAAGTAAACATATGCAAATAAATGAAAACCCTTTCTAATGCCCAGAGTTGAATTGGAAGATACGTCCTGTGTATTCATCTCTCAGGAGTCAATGTAAGTATGACATGAGACTGGCTCTTTCCTCTACTAGAAAGATACAAGTTGGTGAGGTAGCATACAGAGACAACAAGCTGGTAAGTTACTCATCTACTGAAACTGAATACATCCATAAGCCTCGATGTCAGGCACTTTGCCAACGACTGATGTAGTAGTATCCCTGTGACCTAACTGGGACATGACCTTGTCCACCACTCTTCTTAAGCATGATCAGTCTTGAGTCTCCTTTGTGTCCTACCTGCCCTCACTGTTGAAGTGGACTTGACACAACCTTGATCACTTCTCAGCTCTCTGTGTGGCCTCGGGTACATTTACCAAAGTGGGAACAGTGTCTTGCATTGACTGGCAGCATCCAGTCACGAAGGGGACTGTGTGCAGTATGATGCTGTTATGAGTATATCGTGGTCCTTGGGTATGCCCCATAGTGCTCTGCAGGTGGACCCAAGGACATTGTAAGGTGTGATTGCTTAGAACTGCATACTGATTGTAGCACATTTCCCCAGAGTCCATGCATCTAGACATGGCAAAGACATAGTCTGAAACTCTACCATGAAGATCCCCATAGTCCCTGGCTTACCCAGAAGTCTTCTCTGCCACATGGTTTAATGTCCCCTCCTGCCATGTCTCCAAGTGAAGATCTCAGTCTTCTCCAACTTGCAGATTTCAACCATAATCTTACTGCTCCATTAGCTGTATGGTGCTCTAGTTTGCTCTTACTCCTTTTTCCACCCTCAGCACCATGGTCCTGACAAAGTTATCTCTTAGACTCCCAATGTAGAATTTGCCCACCAAGCTGCAGATTCACTTCCCAGCCTTTGGCTTCATGAGATATCAAGGTGCCATTGAATTTGTAAAAGAGTAATTGGAGGTCATTAGTCTGTTCCAAGTTCTGGAAGGATGAGTGGGACTCAATACATCTATAGAAACATTGACTAAAATCCATTTGCAATGTATAGTGCAAAGTACAAGTTTTAAGTGAAGGGTTGTCGGGAGAGAACTGGGATATTCTCAGCTGCCACACAAGCCTGGCCACTGCTCTAAAGCTAATATGCCCGGATCCTTACCCTTTCCAGAAAAAGTTTGCTTCATCTATCTGGGCCAAGGGCTACCATTTTATGGTCATCTTGTGTCACCCTGCTCCACACCTCAGACCCTTCAACCACACTATTCTTTTGCCCGGAAGTCTGTATTCCACACTATTATCCCAGAGGACCACAATGTCCTCCTGTGAGTGGCAGTGCAAAGGTCATTGCATGAGGAGCCTTCTCAGGTATCCTGGGTTTGCTTGGTTTGGTTCTTGTGCTACCTGATCCTGAGACACAATGACAATCTCTTCCTTACATTCTTTCTTTCTGTCTCCCCATGCCTCTGTCCTTGCTTTATGGCTCCAGCTCATGAGCTTGGATGCTTGAGAACTGACTTGCAGCACTGCTTAGAGTCATTTTTTCAGTATCTGCTCCTTAGAAGCTGTTTCTCCACACTCATGCAGTAGCTAGCTTACCTTATTCTCCCCAAGAATGGGTTAGCATGCATGGAATGCATCTTTTTTTGGCTCTCCCCTCATGCCCAAGCAATGTGAGGTAGCCTTACTGAAGCTGGCTGCCCTAGACTGCATAGTTTTGTGATTGTCTTTCCAAATTCAATTCACAAATGCAGGAAGCAGGTTGGCTGAGCAATGCCACTACACCTCAGTGTGACCTCTTTTTTATCTGCCATGGTCATAGAATTTTACCTCCCTAGTTTCATGGATGTGATCTGTGTTAGCTCTGACATCTGTTCTGGATTGGAAGGCACAGTGTGACATTAAACAACCAAGGTTAGTTTTACAGAAAGGGAAATGCAGATGGGACGGTTTGCTCTTCAAACTGAGCATATCTGCTTCAGGGAGAAAGGTCAACAGTGGCTAACATAGAGTCATGGGGACAGTGCTTGCTTGATCACCTCCACCTTGCTGCTATCTGTGGGCAGAGGTATGACACCTGTATTCCCATCCATGAGTGACAATCAGACTTTGCCCTCTCTCACTGATGCTTCCCATTCCCAGATCATTCAGTCCCTCTTTTGTTTTACTCCCAGTGTTTCACCTTCCTTTCTTTACCATGGATGAGGAGACTCCATTGGGTAACACAGCAGTTTGCAGCATTCAGACATGCCTCGCGGAAGCAGTTTGCAGTCATAATTGAACGGACAATAAACCTTAGCTATAGAATGCAAAATTGAATGTCAGCCAAAATGAAGATCAAAATAGTCTTCACAGGCCAATTGATGGGTGGGTCAAGGAACTTACAAGGTAAAGGAGATACCATACCAAATGTAGGACCAGTAGACAGCTCCGAGTGCCATATCAGGAAATGCCTGTCCAACAACTAATTTCGGGATTGGTCACTTTCAGGCTTTTGCCTAAGATCACATGTTGGTACACAGGAAGGAGCCACCTCAGAGTCAAAGTAGTCTGCCAGGATCCATCCATGCACATCAGAAAGAGGGAGATTTGATTATGATCTGTGCATGTCATGGACGTGTTCACACAGGTAACCGAGCAGATTCTAGGACTGCATGCCAGCCAATGATCAGTAAGGTGAAAAGTTAGAGATGGACGCGAGCTCCTGGGGTACAGTTCCTGGTAAGCCCATACAATCCTGCCCTACAGATAGATATATGCAAGCACCATGATGAAGAATGGCTACCACTGTCCATACATTGCAATAGAGTTGCTTTTGAGAGTTGGGGGATAGAGAGGCGAGAATCAATGCGATTCTCCATGTGATGATACCTTCCTCATGAGCTGTCATGATACCTTCCTCATGAGCTGTCAGACAAGAGAAAGAATACCACAGCTGTGCCAGAGATGCTGTTATGTACACTGCCCTATCCTAAGCTCTCTGGACATGTATCTGGTTACATGAGATGTCATGTAACCCTCAGTGGAAGCCTGGGAGGTGCCCCCACTTTGAAGATGAGGGACAGACAAAGTGAGATGAATAATCATGAGTTTTCTTTCTTCTCTTCTCACCTCTTGTTACAGTCTGGATTTTCCTGGCTGCACACACTCCTCCTCGCTCTCGCCTAGTTATTCCACAAGCCTCCACTTTCACGTTTCCTCCTGGAACCAGGGCTCAGTGTGGCCTCCAGCTCAGACTAGACCCCCATGGATCCACTGCAGAAATGGGATCCAATGTCAATTTCTGTGCCCTCCCGCATAGCCACTGTGATGAACTCCCAAGAGACCTCGGCAGCCCCTCAGCCTTCCTCTTCAGAAAAGCTAAGCATGGGCCTCAGCATCCTGAGCGTCAGCCCCAGCCCTAGTTCAGGTGTCCCAGCTCCTCTGTCAGAGGGGCTGTTCCATCAGCAGGCCCGAGAGAAGAAGGCCTTGTGGCAGCAGTACTGGGAGAAGCAGGGCATTCCTCAGAGGAAGAGAGTCTTCCTGAGGCACTCGAGACGCTGGCACCGGGATCACATGGCACCTTACCTGCTTGAAAGGGATGTCAGAGGCTTTCCCTCAGGTGACAAAGCTCAGAATCAGCTTCGATGCCAGGGCCACGTGCAGAATATTTCTGGGATGAGTGGGCAGAGGAACGCAGCCCCCAACCCTCCCTCCTGGGAAATGCTGGTGCAAGGGCTCAATGGCCTCACCCTCAGCCTGGGAGCCAACAGACCCGGCCCCTTGCCAGAGGGCCCTCGGCAGCAGCAGGAGCCAGAGGACATGTGCCAGCTGGAGAGGCAGCAGGAAAGCCTGAAGATGTTCCAGAGGATGCTCAAGTAGAGGATGTAAGAAGGCTGAGGTGCTGGCCCCTAGAGGATAGATGTGAAAACACATTTAGAAGGTGCTGCATTGCAGTCTCAGAGGCGTGGTCTCCTCTGAGGTCAAGGCAGTCCACTGCCAGTGGATGAGTCCCAACACTTGTGCTATGATGGGAATTGTCCTTGGAAAGATCTTAACTATCCTGCCTGTCTTTTAGCATGCCTTTTTGGATGTGGTGCTGCGTGTTAGCCTATACAGAAGAAAACTGGGTACCAGTGATCCCCAAATGTGTGTGATGTGATTCATACACAGAGTTTTCACTGATTTTTCTTAGAGCTCATCATCCCCTCCAACTTCTTGTTATAAGGAATCAACACCATATGTATATATATGCATATATATTTATATATATAGAGAAGACGTACATCCACATGTCTTCTTGATGTCAGTTTATTGAGTGCCCCCATGAGAAGGGTTACTACATATATTGTGATATATGTCCTGGGTAGGAGAGAGAGATTCACTTGCAGCTTCCAAAAACTGAAGCCAGGGAATGCAGGCATAAGACAGCAACCCAATGTCCTGTAGTGGGTAAAATATCCAGGAGTGTGAACTTACATGGAAGAAGAGAAGTTGTCTTCCTTAGCCACACCAAATGGTGGGTCTCTGGAGAAATTTCCCATGTGTTCACTCAATTATGGTTGTAGCAGAAGGTGACTTGGGATTGCATAACTTTGTGTCATCCCTCCCCCCACTCCTACCCTCTGGCACTTCATGTCATTCATAAAACTATTTAAAGACACTTGGGTAGGTCAGGAAAGCCATAGTTTCATTTAGACAAGGAGGCAAAGAGATTAGCAGTTCCAGTATGCCTACTGGGAGCAGCATCGACAGTCTAGGGATTAGATAAGGACTGTACTGGAGAAAGGTTTGGAGGATATCATTATGGCCTCAGAAGTTGGTGATACATGGTGAATGTTTGTAGGGACTTACAAGTCCCATCTTTTTCCGTAATGGCACTATGTATAATTATGGCCTGGATATACACATATTATTGACTAGAAGCTGCGGGTGGCTGTGCAGTCGTCCCTCAAGTGTTCCCTTAGTGGTCAATGGCCAGCAGTGGGAAGTGCTCTAAACGAGTCTATTAGTGGTCGTATTGGTGATTTGTGTGTGCCTTTTTTGGTTTGTTTTCATTGTTTATTATTATTATGTTTTTGTAGCTGGTAAATTCCCTGATCATTCAAAAGATTAGCTGAGAGTGCAGAAATTCACCCCTATGTGAATTGACAAAAGGGACAGTGTTTTTACTTGCCATGTGCTCAGGATGGCCTTGGTCAACTGTAGACTTGGCCATTGTTCCAGTTTGCTGCATGGCAACCATTCTGCAGTGGGACCCTTATAGCCATGTGTGCTTAAATGGAACATGCTCTTCCCCTCCACGCTCATTTTGTTGCTTCTGAGTGGACTCAATTGAAATCCAGGGGCAGCTGCTCACCATAGCTCAGAAGCAGCACACACTATATAGCTTCTGAAGGGGGGCTGAAGGAGGCCGAGAAACCCATTCCTGCTAGCCATTATTGGATGTCTTAATAACTGTGTGGGTGAAGGCATGCTAGTGGGATAACCCGTCTCCCTGGCCATTTGGCCATGAGAAGCATAGCCTCTTGTGTACTAGGTAACGGGAGCATCTGTGAGACATGTCACTGACTGTACTGTTTGTCATCCTTCATCCTCACATGCCTCCTGACCTGCATGCTCTGTATAAGGCACCACCTAATCTCTCTCTGACCTGAGGGGTCTGTCAGGGTATACACATGTGTATTTTAAATTTCCTGACATGGAATTTATTTGCTTTCTTTCAAGGATGCACTGTCCTCTAATTGTACCAGATGGCATGAAATCCCCTGTCCCAGCTGTGAAAGCAGGCTTTCTTCTGTGAGTGCCTGCCTCCTGCTGTTTGTGTGAAGTGGGATGTCCTAGTGTGGTCCTGTCAGAGATTGTGAGACTTAAAGAAACCGAGTAGAGATCTCTCCTCTACTTCTGGAGACAGCTGATTTGTGTTACACATTGTGAGTTTTGTAACACATTGTCTGAGCCATGCTACTGACTGTGATGAGTTAAATTTCCATTGCACTTAAGTTTGCCTGGTCACTTTTCATGAATTCTCCTTTTGAAACAGAATTGCTTATCTTTGTTTCTTCCAACAGTCCCTCTCTGAAGCAGTGTCATGTTTTCCTCCTGTGACATCTTCCCCTACTTGATACTTTAGCTACCTGGTGGTCTTCCTGATATCCTCTCTGCATTCAGCATCCCTACCTGCCCCTCTTCAGAGTACGTGACAGGAAAGTTTCAGAGTTAGATGACAGCTTAGGAGGATGGTCATGGAACCATAGGCCTAAGGTCTACCTTGTTGGATACTCAAGAGGGCTACTTCTAACAAGAGGATCTCCTGTTGCGGATACAGGAACTTTATCATGTTGGCTCAGGCTCAGGTGCTAGCCTAAATATCACACCCCCCAGAGAAGTTGATCCTACAGTGGATAAGAACAGTAACATCTTGGCCAAGAACTCTGTCCCAGTCACTGGAGTGGCTTGGGAGCCCTCACCTTTGCTCCTTGCTCACCCTAACAGTGATCCTCTTAATGGATGAAGCAGCCCTTTTTACTACTCCACAACCCCTGGTTACAGGAGCATGGTTGAGAATCTCATTTGACCATAATTACTGACTACTCATCTTTACTCCCTTTATTGCATTTCTTAATCCTCTTCCAGGGGGTTGAGCTAAACTATTCTATGTGCTCTGTATGAGTGTGTGCCTGCATGCATGTGTACCAGTGTAGGCAGTATGGGTAGAGTTCCGAGGTTGACCCTGTGTGTGTTCTTCTGTTGCTTCCCATCGTGTGTGTACAGATTCGTGTTTTCTAAGATGGACCAGTTTGGCTTCATCTGATGGAGTACTAGTCCCAGAATTCCTCTGTTCTCTGCCTAGCAGGAGTAGGATTATGGGTGTGCCCTTCCAGTCCTGGCTTTGAATGAGGGCTGGGAATCAGGCCTTTATGGCAGACATTTTAGCTGCCCCCCTGGATTCCCACGCATGAGTCGAACAGTTTTAATTAATCACATTTGACTTTCACATTCTACCATTCCTCTTTCTGAGTAGTGAAGCCCCCAACCCAGTGTGCTCCATTTCTGGCCTCACACTCTTTGGAGAGGTGTTGCCTGTATGAGAAGATCAGGGTGTGAGTCTCACATTCACAAGGTAGCAGGCAGCATGTTCATGAGCACTTTTCAGTACCTTAGGTGTGTTGCTCTGCTGCTTTCAACACTGCAGCAAGCACCTTTAAAAGCTGGTGCTACAAGAGGGATTCTAATTATGCCTTGACTGTTGTCATGGTGATGCTATTAGAATACCTTTCATCAATGCAACCTAATTTACCTCTAGGACTGTATCTTGCCAACCTCTCACATCCCTTTGGAAATAGAGATATATTTTCTCACTGCATCTGATTTTGTCTCAGGAGAGGTTGGAGATTCGTGTGCCATAAATGTGACTGAGCCTGTGGCCCCCTGAGAATCCTGGGAAGGAGGCAGTGGCAGAGATATAGGTTGTTAATCTTATTCAAAAACCACTGTGCAATCAATAACCTGGGAGAACAAACTCTTCCTGACAGGATAGAGTGTGGTTGGTTGCCTAGGTTACAAGTAGCAAAAGCCAGAACACATGGAGACTGTCATATGACCAGCTTCATTCTGCAGGATCCAGGCCTAGATTGTAAGTTTGAGCATGCTCAGTTTCAGAGCCTCTTCAATATTCGCAGTTTACAGAAGATCCTCTGGGCCTGCTTATGTGAAACAAATTCACAGAGGATGAGGACATAGACTCTGGCCACTACCTGCAGGAGTCATTGGATTTTGAGTGAGAGTATGCATATTGCTTAGTCTGTTTCCTCATGGTGGTGGAGACTTTGAAGAAGCACTGACCCTGGCCACAAATGCTATTCCTTCTGTACAGGTAGCCCTGTTGCCTGTGTGCAGGGCACTTTGATAAACATGTTGAAATGGAGTGTTCCTCAGTGTCTGTGATCTGATGGGTGGACAAAGAGATCCTGAAGATTGGAGAACGGCACACACACACACACACACACACACATACACACACACACTAAGACAGAAAGCAGAGGAAATTGTGACATTTCAAACATCATGTATTATCTCATGTTGTAATGCCAAGTTAAATGAGCTTGACAAAAAACCAAACGAAACGAAACAGAAAGCTCATA